ATAATTTTATTTCAATTTGATCAAAATAAAGTTCTAGTTCTTTATACTGTCCAATTTCCCTATGTTAAACATATTTATTAATAATTTTATTTTTGGACGAGATAAACAAATAATGAATTATTATTATATTTGCAACCTGGTATAAACTATAACACAAAGAAATTCTTCAAAACTTATAAACTTACTGCCAGATATATAATACCAATAATAACAATAACAATACAATAACGAGAAGCAACAAACAAGTACTAGGAGAAATGGGGTCTCTCGAACGAATAAAATGGAAATAAATAAATGAGCTGCAGTATAAGCCAAAGTAATAGAAGGGAGAGAAAAAAATAAAATCGGTGGGAAGGAAAGTAACGAACGAAAAAAAAAAGATTTGAATCAAAAGACGCGAAAAATGTGAACGAAGAAACGGAAAAGAAATAAACGACGAGGCTTTTCTTTGGTTGGCAAGTAATCAGCGAAAGAGAAATAAAAGAAAAGAAAAGAAAAGAAAAGAAAAGAAAAGAGAAGAAAAAAAAGAAAACGTTGTAGAGGATGATGGTGGGATGATGGGGTTGGGGGAAGGCGGGGATGGAGGGTGGTAAAAAAATATCTTGGAGTAACGCACAAACAAACAAAAACACACTCAGAAACTAGTAACGCGTAATACGTAAACACTTACTTACATTCAAAAAGAAAACGTAGAAAACATAAACGGTAAGGGTGAAAAAGGTTACGGGGGGGGGGAAGGAAAGATAGCCGGGGGGATTGAGTTTGTTGGAGGGAGAGGGGGGAAGTGGGATAAAGAAAATGTTGAAATCCTTTATAGCAATCGACCGAGAAAAGAGTGAAAAATGTGAGAATGGTAAATACTCAGTAACAATAACAATACCAAAAAGAATGCTCGTAGAAACATAAAGAAGGAACAAAAAAAAAATAATTCTCGATAAAAAGAAAAGATAGAGAGAGAGAGAGAGAGAGAGAGAGAAATCAAAACGAATTCGTTAAATTTGTGTAACTTCGTACTAACAGGAAAAAAAAAAAAAAAAAGAAACAAAAATACAAGAGCAAAAGGGTAAGCTTAAGACACGAAAAAAAGAACACGCGGTGTTAACGGGTAAAACTTAAATAAAAGTTAAAAAAAATGACAAAAAGAAAAAAGAAAAAAGAAAAGGAAAAGAAAAAGATAAGAAAAAAGAAGCGTGGTAAAAATTTGATAAAACGAGTATAAGATAAAAAAAACAGGTGAGTTTTTGTGATAAAGAATATAAAAAGAAAAAGTAACTGGAGAATCGTAGGAAACGTACAACAAGATGGCGTATTAGATAATAATGAAAGAAGATGGAACGATATTTATTTGAGTAGGTGGGATTGTAGATAAAAAAAAAGAAAAAAAAAAAGAAAAAAGACAAGAAAAATTAACTGGGTATAAAAACGTGAGAGAAATTTTTAATGCGAACTTCGTTGTATTTCGCCATTTGTAAAAAAAATATAGGGGAATAGTATTTCGAATACAACAATGGAATAATCATAATTAAAAGCAAAGTTTAAAGAACAAAAAATGTTAGAAGGAAAAGAAATAGAAAAAAAAAAAAAAAAAAAAAAAAAGTGGATAGTTAAAATTGTATGGGAACGAATCGTGTTGATGACGTTTAAATGCGTGACAAATTATATAAAAAAAATTCATAATAAAATAGGTTTATAAAATTATGTTAAAGTATGCAGAATTTAAGAAATAAAAATTTATGAGAAAGAGAGAGAGAGAGAGAGAAAAAATAAAATAAAATAATATTTTATTCATGTCCAAGTAAAATGTATATGATGGATAACGTTAATAATATATTAAAAAAAAGAAATAAAAAGAAAGAGAGAGAGAGAGAGAGAGAGAAACGAAAAGAGAAAGAGAAAGATAGCACGACAATAAGAAAGACAAGGATAGAAATAATATAAAATACGAAAATACAATAGAATTTGCAATCATATAAAGTGCTCGGGATAAATATTCCGATGATGATGTACAAGATAATAATAAAATATAGAAAATGAGAAGGGGGGAGGAGGGGTTGGGGGTAGAGATGATAATTTAAATATTTAAGAAAAAGAAAAAAGGGAGAAAAAATATAGAAATAATTCGGAGAGACTGGGATAACTGATAATGAGGATAAAAATTGCATAAAATGGTAAAGAGACACGTGTAACGTAATTTCTGTTTTTTTTTATTTTTTTTTTTTTTGTTGATACTGCAAAAAAATGAGAAAGATAGTAATCTAAGGTATTACTAAGGAATGACCGAAAGGTCAAATTTTTATGTTCTGGAATGATATAAGAATAGAAAAAGGTAGGAAAAAAAGGAAAGGGAGAGAGAGAGAGAGAGAGAGAGAGAGAGAGAGAGAATGATGCGATATTAAAAATAAAGAAAAATGGGAGACGTTTAGGATTTTTTGTATTTCCGGCAGAATTAAGAAATGAAAAATGAATAGTATTTGCAAAAATAGATATTGCAAAGAAAAGAAAATATAAAGAAGAGTGATCTTTGACGGATAAAAAATTGTTCGTCCCAAAAAAGAATAAAAATATGAAAAAAAAAGATGAGAGAAGATAATAATGTAAGAATAAAAGTATAAAGTAAAGACCTGTTAAAGAAACTGAAAAGTAAAAAATGGGATAACTGGAATACTTGGAGAAAGGGATCGGTAACTGGTGAAACTTTTTGTCCCGGTAGAATTAAAGAATATAAAATAAAGAGTAAGAATGAGAGGGAGAGAGAGAGAGAGAGAGAGAGAGAGAGAGAGAGAGAGAAAGAATAAGGGGAGTAGGGGTAGAAAGACGGATAATGTTAAAATAAAATTGAAAAGGAATGATAGAGACAAAAACTAGAAAAAATATCAACATCAAAAACTAACCGTAGGGATAAACAACATTTCTTTACTTTTCTGAAAGATAAAAAGAATAAAATATTGAAAGAGAAAAGGAAGAAATAAAAGGAACATAACGAAACGAGAAAATGTGACAAGAAAAGTTTACCGGACACAGGTAAAATTACATTCTCTCGGTAAGATAAGAATATAAGACAAAAACGTGAAAGACAGAAAGAAAGAAAGAACGAAAAAGAGAAAGAGGGAAAGAGAACAAATTATTCGATTAGAAAAAAAAATAAGAAAGTTATCCACTAATAAAAATATAAAAACGAAAAAGAAATGAAAAGGGGACAAACAAATTGATCGTGTAAACGTGTAAAAAAAATATTATCGCTTTCCTGAAACAAACAAACAAACAAAAAAAATAGTAATCAATTAACAAAAATATAGAGAAACTACTCTAACTAAAATAAATGAAAAAGAAATGAATCAAATCGATCGTGCGTGTAAAACGTGTAAAATATTTTCGCTTTCCTGAAACAACAAAAAAAAAAAAAAAAAACCCAAGAAAAGAAAAAAAAAATAGGTGAAGAAGTTTGACCGGATGCCGGTTAGATTTTGCCCGTTCAGTTAGAACATAACAGTTAGAATAAAAGAATAAGAGAAAGCGTGAGGAATAAGTAGGAAAAGAAGGAAAGGGAAGGGGGTGGGGGGTGGGAGCAATGGAAGGGGTAGTTGGGGGGCGCATGCGCATAAAACACATTCTGGGCGATGTCTGAGGCGTCGCGACGTCTACTTCGTCATTCGGCGTCCGCGCGCGAACCGAGAATAACGCGCAACCCTAACACGCGCCCGCGCAACTTAATAATAATAATAATATGAATATTATTATATTTAGCAATTACTAACATTTACAATTAATAATCATTTTTACGCGATTTACCTAATCGATTCCGATTAAAATCAATTATTTAACAACCCCCACCCTTACCTTCACCCTCATTCCCCATCCCATCATTAGCTCCCCCCTCCCTCCTACCCTCTCCCCCCATCGCTTTAATATTATCGCGAAATTTTGGGTTAATTTCATTTTGACTATGTGAATTATATTTTCACAAGAAGAATATAAGAAGGAAGGAAAAGAAACGAATAAAAAAAAAACGTCTAACCGACGAGTTGATTCTTAAACATTCGGATTTGTTTTTTTTCCCCATCGATAATAATCGTAAATTCGAAACAAAAAGAGAGAGAGAAAAAAGAAAAGAAGAAGAAGAAGAAAGGGGTGACTTTTGTTTTCCCGCGCTTTTTTTTCCTATAGTCGGTTCACGCACATTTTTGTTCGACTTTCTGTCGCAACGTTTATTTGGATCTTTCGTGGGATATGCTTTTTTTAGTTCTTTTTTTTTCATTTAAGTAATATTTAAATTAAAGGGGAGGAGGAAAAAAAAGAAGGAGGAGATACGAAGAAGAGGAATATCTTAAATCGCTAAGAAATAAAAATGGATATTTTAGTTTATTTCCAATCACCGTAAACGTGTGTCAGTTAAACGAGTTGATAAGCAGAAGAAAGAAGAAAAAAGAAGACAAGAAGGAAGGAAGGAAGGAAGAGGGGACAAAGAAAAAAGTCGGTAATGATCCGGCCTATAGGATTATCCGCAAAATTCCAATTGGGGGATAAAAAGGCAGGTTTGATCGAAGAAGAAGAAAAAGAAGAAAAAGAAAAAGCAGAAGAAGAGACCTTGATCGATGTTTCTCAGTGTCCTCCTAACATTTATCCATTATTACGGTTAAATCGTGTGGACAAAATTAAAGGAAAATTAACAAATAGAATAAGAGTGGTCTCTCGTGGGAATCTAAATTGCACGAGGAGGAAAAATTCGAAAAGAAAAAAGTACGATCTGTTAGTAGAAAAATAAGATTGTTAATTGAACGAATAAACGTATCTAAGATATTTCATTTGTATATATTATGCAAGATAATAAGGACTAAAAAAAAAACAAATATGAATATTAGCAACGCGACAGTTAACGACAACAACAACAACAACAATAACAGCAGTAGCAGTAACAACATATCGTCGTTGTTCGAAAAGAAAAGTGATTACGAATGCGGTAACAATTTGGAATCGTTTCATTTGATATACGCTCAAATTCATGGTTGGGCAAGCCTATTCGTTTGCATATTCGGTTGTATCGCAAATAGTTTAAACATAGCTGTACTTACGAGACGTGATATGAGATCACCAACTAATATGATATTAACTGGTCTGGCAGTTGCTGATTTATTGGTTATGATCGAATACGTACCTTATGCTATACACCTTTACCTTTATCATCGTTCAAGAAAGGATACGTTTACATATGGTTGGGCAGTATTCGTCCTGTTCCATTCTAATTTTGGTCAAGTTTGTCATACCATATCTATATGTTTAACGGTGACACTTGCTATATGGCGTTACATAGCCGTAGCACATCCGCAAAAAAATCACGAATGGTGTAGCCACAGAAGAACGATCATAGCTATAGTCGGTGCTTATTTGTTTTGTCCCGTGTTATGCGTACCATTGTACATAACCACGGAAGTACGTTCGCAGATAGAAACGTTAAACGATAATAATAATATTAATTTGAGTAAAATCATTGTTAACGATGTTGATAATCGTAACGATACACATCTATACGATACGGCAACTAACGTAACACTTTATTTCGTTAGATTAACCGAAACTGCCAGGGTACACGGTATGTTAAAGGAAATGAACTTTTGGATTTACAGCGTGGTCATCAAATTGATACCGTGTCTTGCATTAACCATATTAAGTATCAAATTGGTTATTGTATTGCTCGAGGCTAAAGAAAGAAGAAAAAAACTTACTACGAAAACATTGAAAAGTAATAATCAAAAATTAAACGATACAACTACGAACGATACGACTACGAAAATAAAAAAGAAAAAATCTAATAGGAATATGGATAAAGAAAGGCAAACTGATAGAACGACTATGATGCTATTAGCCGTTCTACTTTTATTCTTACTCACCGAATTGCCTCAAGGTGTACTCGGTTTGCTTAGTGTCATATTGGGCTCGGGTTTCTTTCATACGTGCTACCTTATGTTAGGTGAGTATTTATATTTTTTCTTTTCTCCCCCTTTCATTTCTATTACCTTTTTCTATCTAGATATCCATTAACTTCTCTTTATGTTTATTCCTCCTTTTTTTCTATCTCGTTTGTTTAAAACGATAATATCGATTAATCAACGATTACTATTACAATAACATATATTATCTTATTACAAATTATTATATTATATTTATCTTGTGTGTGCAATGATTATTTCATAGAAATTTATTAAATGTAACTTATGTTTCTTATTTTTTTTCGTTTATTAATTATTATTGTGATGCTCGATTAAATTTCTTTGTTGTTTTGATTTGTTGCTTATATTTTACTTTTTGTCTTTTTTCGCTCTTATTTATCAAAAATTCTTGAAGAAAAAGATTAAAGAATAATACGTTGAAAATTTCGGCATCTGAAATCCCACGAGATAGTCTGTGTCTTGTCCCAAAATGAACCTTTCGCCGCCAACACATTATCGTGAAAAGCCGATTTCGACGGTAAGGTGGACACAGGGGAAAGGAAGAAACGTTTGTTCCATTTTATCGACAGTATCATTTCCCACTTGGTTTATTCCTGTTTCTCATTAAACATCTTCGTTCTCTCTCTCTTTCACTTTTACTTTCTCTTATCCTCTCTTTTTCTTTTTCTTTTTGTTTTGTTGTTTTTTTTTTTCTGTGATTACAAATTGATTTTTCACGTTTCCATGTAAAACAAATGTACGATGATCGTTCAAAACTTACAACACGAGAATACTCGTTTTATTTGAATATAATTTAATAGTAGAATTTATACACAAAATATATATCCATCACTTTTATTTTTTTGTATTTATTTAAAAAATGATTTTCAGTAATATTTGCGGTCTCGTAAAAGTGTTCGTTTAATTAATGATTTTAATTGAAATTGTAAATTATTTGTCTTCTTTGTTTGTCTACAATTACATTTTATCTGAAACATTTATTGAATTGTGGTGAATAAATTCTGTTTGTAAAAGACAAAAAAAAAATAAAACAAAACGAGAAAATATTTATTTGCATTTGTATTACTTTTTTGTTCGATTTAAAAAAATAATTTTGAAAAGGATATTTGTATACCATTATATAATACATTCGTTTGAAATAATATTAATTGGAATTTATATCGTTACTCGGTTCTCTTTCGGTGGTACGATACTTTTCTAAAACATACGTTCCGATCATGCTTAAAAAAAGTTTATGAAACTGAAAAAAAAAAAACAGAAAAAGAAAAGCGCGTGAAATGAATCTCGAAATAAAAGATAGTACGAAATATAAACGTCTAATCGAATGCATTCTCTTTCTCTTCGAATTTATGCGCGCATAATAAACGTGAATTTTCGAATTAAACAAATATGAAATGAAAATGCATTATGTCAAATATATTTCAATATTATTTAATTTCTTTTCAAAATTATAATTAAATATCATTTCAATGAATACTTATAGCAAATCACGTATTCACACTTTTATAAACCATACGATATTTATATATTTACCAATTGATTAATAAAGTTATTTACTAAAATTATAATTAAATTTGTTTTTAAAGCGGATTATTAAAAAAAAAAAAGAAGAAATTTAATAAAAGAGAGAGATACGCATAAAGTTGATTTTGCAGAGAGGAAAAAAAAAATATATATAAAAACAATGAAATACCCTCCCCCCCCCCTTGTGTCAGTCAGTCGCGTACATTAATACTCGACGTATTGAATTAATTTCTACCGAATTATAAAAAACTCATTATATTTTTTTTCTTTTCGGTCCTTTTTCTTTCATTCATTCTTTCTTTCTTTTCCCTGTAAATTGAACTTTAGAAAATTCTGATCAACTTTTATAGAAAATGTTCAACCATATATCTAAAAGTTAGTTAAAGTAGTGGGTTTTGAATGAAGACCATAATTTATCTGTAATAATTCACATTGTGAATATAGGTCATGATATCTGCGTACATATGTCCCTGGTTATTATAACAATTGAATAACATAAGTAAATAAATTATATAAATTAATACTCTCTGATTTTTTTATTTGTTAATATAAAGTGGAAAATCATAGAAAGTATTTTTGATTAAACTTCAATTTGTTAATTTGAAATAATTGTTAATTTGCTTTTAAACGCAAAAAGGTTACGAAATTCATCTTTTACGTAGAAATTTATTCGAGGATTATTTGAAAATTTGTACCCCTCATCTATATCAATTATATCGCAAAAGAATACTTTTTATATTAATATATTGTCGGAGAAATATAATTTTTTAATTAAACGATACGAGAAAATTGATTTGAAAAGAAAATTAAATGTTGATTCTTTTTTTTTTTACATTCTTTCTTTCTTTTGTTTCTCGAAAAAATTAAATTAATTTTTGACAGATATAGAAAAAAAATAATTAAATAATAAAAATATCTAATATATTACAAATATGATCAAATGTTATACATAAAACATTTATTTCTATGTATACACATGTATTAATCTATGTATTCGTGTGAAAACTGAGACGAACTATGTTTCTTCTTTTGCTTTTAAAATTCTTAATAGTTTGCAAAAATAAGCTATTGTTTCGAAACGTTGCATCTCTCTCTCTCTCTCATTTTTTTTTATTTTATCCTACCCCTCCCACCACCCGTCCCACTTTTTTTAACTATCGTTCGAAAAACCGTGAAACTGTAAATGTGCATACAATCGAACTGATGGTTTTCTACGCGTGATACAGGAAAATCGAACGGATATTTCTTTTTCGTATTCTTTCTCTGACTGATGAAGCGAAGAATATATTTTTCTATTTTTTGGTTTTTTTTTTAATTTTATTTTACTTCTATACTTTATTTTTGTTCACTTCGTTTACATATGTATATATTTTCGTATTAATATTTAGAAGATTACAAAAATATTAATACGAAATTGTTTCTAATAAATATAATCAAGTGATATTATTCGATTATTATCATATTTGTTTCAATTTATATTATTTTAATTGCAGCTTATATAATATATATATATATATATATATATATATACGTCGATTAAATGATATATTATATTTAAATAGGAAATATCTCGATTGCAAATTTGAATATTACATCTTTGATCTTGCTTGGTTAATTTGCTCGTTTCTGGATTAGTGAATACAAATATGATTCCATTTATTTTGTATTTTATAATACAGGCAATATAATGATTCGATAGAATATATCGAGAACTCAATGAGAAAATATTTTAAAATCGATTTACGAACGATTAATCGTTGTCCCTAAAATTAAATAACGAAATAAATGATAAAAAGTTGATGGAAATAAATTACACGGACAATTATATTATATACTTTGAAAAACAAAATGAATTTTGAAACAACGACGGATGATAAATCTTAAAGGAAAGTAAATGGACGATTTAAAAATAAAAAAAAAACAAACCCGTCCTTCTCGTCCACCCCACCCTCACCTAAAAAAAATGCCAACTTAAAACTTAGAAGAATAAATGGATCTATCGTAAATTGGAGAAAAGAGTAAAGAAGATTGGTGAAAGAAAAGAAAAAGAAAACGAAAAGATTTAAGAAACTAAACAAAACCCTACCCCACCCCACCCCCCTTCCCGCGTTGATAAGTAAGTAAGTAAATGACACAAACTTCTAATTAAATATTTCCCCTCTCCCCATCTTTCCCAAAAGACGAATTAGTCCATTTTTCAATGACAATTTGCCAAGGTATAATTTTTATCAGTTACCTTGTTAGATTTTCCAATGCTGACTTTGTACGAACGTATATATTATAATATACATACAATATATAATTAATTTAATATATTAATATATTATTATCCTTTGTATATTCATTTTTAAATGTTTAGCCAAAAAAGATTATATTAATAAATAACTAAAACAAACAAAACTATATATATATACATATGTGTACAATTTGTTTATATATATATTGGTTCGTGTTCTGTACTCATGTCAGATATTTCTTTTTTAAACATTTTCACAAGATGCATCGAATCGGGAACAAGCAAGAAGACACAAGCGACCCTTTCCTTCTCCCCCTCCTCCTCCCCTCCCCACCCCCTTTACCCTTGCCACCTCTTTATCTCTCTTCATATCTCTCTTTCTTTTTCTTTCTACTTGAGAATGGCAAAGTTGTCCTGGTTTACGAAGTGCAAGCACGTGATGCTGCTATTATTCTCTCGCTTCGTGGCGATATGCTTCATATAACGGGTTGCTCAGAATCGACTTCCTATTCGTTCCACACTACCCTCCTACCACCCTACTATCCCCACACCACCACCCTATCCCACTCCAGAGAGGACACATACACGAACAACCAACCCTACGCAGTAACAACCGATTTCTTATCGACAATGCACAACGTCGCTTCGAATAAAAAAGATCCGCTTGCGAATACTCCCCCAGACCACCCCACCCCACCTCCCCATCCCTTTTATTTTTCTTTTTCTATTTCTTATTCGTTTTTTCTTTTTTTTTTTTTCCCCCCCTTAAAGAATACAATACGATATCGATCAGGAATAGATTACGTTTCGAATTTGAGCACAAATTGTAACGATCATTTAAACCCCCCCGTTTCTGGACAATACAATTATTAATCTTAATTTTTATTTGATTTTTTTCTACTTTTTTTTTTCTTCCATTCCCTTCGAATTTTTAATCTTTTCTTTATTCTTGTTTATTTTTTTTTTTATTGACTTTTACATTCGATTCTATAATTAATCTTAGAAATATTAATGATTTATAAAATAAATAAATTCAAATGAATGGAACATTAACAAGAGCAAACGTTAATAAAAAACCTTTTTTCCTTTTTGGTTTTACTCCTCCTCGTTTGTACTATCGTTTTCAATCCTTTTCGGTTATTTCATTCACTTTCTGTTTACATACGTATATATATTTACTCGAAACAATTATTTAATAAATTAAACGCGTAAATTGATATATACATAATAAATGTACACGTACGTGTATGTAACATGTAT